TTATTTCACCTGGGTTTCAAACATAGTATGTTTTTACCAACTTAAAGGCATCTGGTAGGCATCTTGCTTTTTGGATTTCTATTCTAAGATTTCATTTTTCACCTCATTTTTATGTAGTCCCTTTTCTAGAAATTAAGTACCTGTATGCTGGCCTCCTATCCCCCCACAAATGTGTTTTGGCTGTTACCCACTTAACCTCTTCTGAACAGAGTCTTGAGGCACCACTCAAGATGAAATTCAGAATGATATCTTTTCTTGTGGGTTCTAAGATTAGCTGTTTGATGAAGCAGTCATTTACTGTGTCCATAACTATTTATCCCTATATCTTGTCCTGAAGAGGAGCTGAAATCTTCTACTATTGATACTTGTCTGTAATTTACAGCTTTTCCTTAAAATTTCAGCTCCTGAAGTCTTACAAGTTTTTTCATTGAAAAATGCAATTTCCAGTGTCACATATAAGTCTATTTAATTCACTCAACATATTTTTTGACTGAGAGGGTTATGCAAATATTAACAACCTCTGTAAACAAGAACAAACCACACAGGAGAAATGCCTCCTTAACCTGGTCCCTGAAGAGCCATTTACAACAAATGGCTGTGTGCATAATACAGTATTTTCTAATTAGCATCTCTGGCAATAAGCCACTCGGGTATATTTGATATGCTTTTATCTTAAGATTAAATTTACATTTGCTGCTAGGTAGCTCTGACATCTTCATTCTTGTTTTAGATCTCTGTCATAACATGATTATTGTGTGATCACTACTACCGGCCCCTATTTGTAAACAGCTCAGGTTTATCTACAGTGATGGGCTCTACAATCATGTCAAATAAGGAGGTGGGGTATTTTTGCAATTTGCCTCGTCGAATTCAAAAATGATTGTTGTAAAAGTTGCAGGGCAGGTTTCTTTTTTTTTTCTTTTTTTGTTTCTTTTTTTTTTTTTGAGCCATATAACACTCCAAGATATAAGCTGTAAAAGCAACCAAGAAAATAATTGATAAATAAAAGTGTCTTTCTGAAGCGACTGAAATATAACTATTAAAAAAAAAAAAAAGAGTTAGTTAAACTTTATAAGACAGGCACAGATTTTAATGATTTTTACAAAGTTTTGAAAAACTGGATATAGAACAGATCCTTTCCATAGTCCAGTATTATAACCACAAAATTTTTTCCTACCACAGAAAACTAAGCACTTTCAAAAATAAATTTTCAAAGGCAGACTCACAGTGTTATAAATTGTTACAGCACTTATGAAATCAGTTGATCTATTATTGATTATATCAACCGAGGATCTGCCACAGAACTCTCCAGTAAAAAATATGTAAGCAAAAAAATATACATCAAATGAAAAGTGCTTTCATAAACATTAGAAATAGACAGTAACAGGATTTCTTGTGCCTTGAAAAAAATGCATAATTTTCAAAATTATGTTAAAATAGAACCTTTTTTTTAAATGCTCGGAAACAATTTTCCCAGGTCATAGTAGGAACTGTTGCCTAAATCAGATCAGTCATTCATCTTATTCAGCTAAAGCATTTTCACTATTAAGTTGCTTACCAGCTGCTTTAGTGAAAAGTGAGTCTTTATTCTGAAGTACAAAAAAGGATGGGAAATGTCATACGATTGCAAAGTTACCTCTCATAGATGTCACTTTTGGAGATTAGAAATAGAAAAAGCAAAGTGCAATAATAAGGTAAAATGACCCCTACAAATCAAACAGCAACCTAATTCAGTTCACCACATGGGCCATTGGGATTTTCATACTTTATGAGCTTAATCTGATTCCAGATGATGTCCATTCATTGAAAACATTTCTATTTCCCTAGGTTAGTAGATTTCTTCTTCCAAACAGCTTGTACCCCACTCTCTCTCTTTACCACAAATGCCTGTTAAGTGTTTAGGTCAAAACCTCAGAACAGGAAAATACTCACACAAAACTGGAAATCTTTTACCCACTCTCAGTTGAGATTTGTTCACCTCTAACACCAGAAGGAGAGTGAAAAAAAGTGTTCCAGTCACACAAGTCTGAAGTTGTATTGGGCAGGTGTCACTGTGACAAGACCATGCTGAAGTAAATACCATGCTGCTACTCACATGGAACTCTACTATAAATCAGCTCCTTTTCAACCCTACAAAAACTACAGAAATCACATTCTGTTAACTCAGGGTTGCTTTATAATTGCAAAATAGTGCTGGATTGCCAGCAGAAACAAGGGGTTGGTGGTGGATAAAATATTTCCACACATTTGTGATCCATACATTAATAAAGTATCATCTATCAACTCATAATATCAATAATAATATAGCATTCATGGCACGCTCTTGTGTTTAATGCTGACAACATAGCCACTATAGATTATTACAGGTATGAGGATTGGTGCTACTAGGAATTACACCTTACAGATTCAGTCTGTTGACTAACACTATAAATCCAATGGCAAAACCAATATTGTTCATTTAAAGGGAGATTAAAATATTTTATGTAGCTTTACTTAAAAACTGTTACCCCCAAGAGCCACTGAAAGTGTCCTTAACCCTTTAATGTGTATAATTTAACTTATTTTTTAAAGGGTGCTCTTAACTTGGCCTATTTCAGTGCTACACTTCACAACATTGCCTCAGAAATCATTCAGTGGGCAAAAATGAAGGACAGAACAACTTCTTAATTGGCTTTGCCTTCAAAGCACATGTCCTGAAACTGTCCTGGGCTTAGATTTAAGAGAAGAAAAATTGTGCCTGGGAATGGTGTAGGATTAGAAATACGAATGAGAGAGACCTGGAGCCAAAATTTCAATAGAAGCAAAACTCAGTTGAAGAAATTTAAAGGGAAAAAAAAAATGTTAAACTCAAAACACACTGTTGTCCAGAGCCTCAAATGGAATCCAAGACTTCAGAACACATTTCCTCTATGGGAAAATACTTGATGGGTGCTGGTAAAGGTTTCATCTTCATTCCTATCTGCTGGTTCAGTTCAGTTACCTTGTTATTCCCTGCAGATCTACTGGCTGAAATACTGCCAATGAAACAGTAAGGTTGATCTGCGTGGCAGAAGGTCTGGTGCTGTTTTAACTTAACTTCTGAAGTCTTTACTACAACTCGTACATGCATGCTGTTGGCTACATAATCTTAATGCAATATTCTATAGTCGTTCACTGAGAAACTGTATGATGGCTTTGCTGCAGAAGTTGTGAATGGGCCAGGGAAAGGTGGGAAAAGGTAGATGGAGAAGGACTTGGAGAACTGAGTTCTCTCTCCTTACCCCTGCCAGACTGCTCATGGGGGAGAGGAGTAAGTAATTTAAACAGGGTTCTCATCTTGAAACTACAGTTCACATGCAAATCTTCAGGTAGGTAAGAATCCACAGCAGAATTTAGTAGACATTATTCTTAAAGCGTTTAAAATGCTGCCTTATCTAACAATTCTGGAAAATCATAGCATACACATCTCAAGTGAGGCAGTCAGAATTTTTAAATCTCCCTCTGATGCTCTGCACACTCCTCAGCTATGTAAGGTGGACACACCAGCCCCACACTACTTAGGGCTTTTGTGAAGCAGATACTGTAGTGACAGGCACTGTAAAAAAAGCTTCTGAATATATCAGTAATTCTGCCTTCATAGAGTACTGAAGAAAAACATTTGTGATCATGCACTTAAAGGCTGCATCACAATGCATATGCACAAAGAACCAAATGAAGGTTGCACAGACAACCATAATTCTGGCATTTCCTAACTTTTTAGTGCTTGCCTTTAAAATCTTAATAATGTGTTCTTAATATAGTGGCTTTCCGGTGTATAACATGTAATTATCTGAAACTACGTATGTGATGTTTTCTCGGTATCTGGAGAACATTTAGCTTTGTGCTTTAAAAGGATTCTGAAGAATAATCGTTATTTAACTAAAACATCTTTGGCTTTCTTTTCACTTTGCTTTTGTGTGGAAGCCACAGAACAGCTTTTCACATACCAGATGAATAATGTGTAGGAAGAGTGAGAGAGGAAGGGAATTGATGACTTTTTTTTTTAACTATGTGAATTTAATTTCACCAGGCACTTTATTTTAATCATAATGCACAACCAAATTTATATTAAAAAAAAGAGGATCTCCTTCTGAATGCTTCAATATGTTGTTTTATATATTACTGAAAAAGTTCATATTTTACAAAATAATACATTTCAAATGTTTTTTCAACTGTAGGTTGAAAATGAATATACATCAATGTCTGAAGTACTAGGTAACATGAAAACATTCTGCATCTTCAAACTATACAGCAAAATGCAATCATAGGCATGCTGGACAACCGTGAGATTACCCAACCAGATTTAAAGGTTTCACAGAAATAAACTTTCTCACTCTGTTGGCTCGTTTAGAGAAATTCCTCATCAGTGCCAGGAGGAAAGACACCAGCTAACCAACACACTAAACTAAAAAGCATTGTGACACTTGCAGTGGGAAAAATTCCCCATTCCCTGCCCCCCCCCCCAGCTTCTCTGCAACATAACTGTAGACATAAATCCCTCTCCCTGTTGAAAAAAGTGTGTATATCAATATTGAAATGAAGCACGTGTAATAGACAGTTATGCAATTAATCTGCCAGCACCGTCACTGATTCCTAGTTTTGCAGGGACACATTCACGGTTATGAAATGTATGAATTTCAGAGCACAAAGTATGAAAGAACAATCCTACTTTTTCAGCTAAAAGATAGCAAATGGAATTTTTTTTCTATACTCCTAATGATCACAGAAATAACAGGTTTTTGCATATCGTATCCCAAGCAAAATATCACAGGAGTCCTAATTCCTTAAGGTTAAAAGCTAGCTGCATACCCTCAATACAGAATCTCAGAAATATTAAAAAAACGTCCAAAGCTTTAGGGTACATAATGTCCACTCACCTCGGTTAAAACTCCAAGATCGGTTCAACAAAATAAGGCATCAGTAGCAGGAAGTAAATTTTTATCCATTTTTTCTATTAATTTCTTCTATTCCTTGCTACTTACCTCTGAGTGCTGCTGTTGCTTGGAGCACACAGAATGCACCAGCTCAATCCAAGGAAGAAAACAGTTATTTCCTTTCACCCTCTGTTACTGTTCTCCCTTGAAACTCCTTCACTTTTTTCTTTTCAAGTTGCATAGGAATACAGGGATGGACCCTGTGGGCTCTACCCGGGTCTGTTTATATTATGTAAAACAGATGAATGCATTTCCTATTTTAACCATGAAAATCATGTCTTCACTGACAGGCGCCTGGATCATTAATAGTATACTGTATGCAACTGTGAAAACCCACGTAATGCTCAGAATTGGGCTCAGTTTTCTAAATGAAGAACCAGATGAAAATCTGCAAATCAACTTTTCTTTGTTGCAAAAGTTTCTTTTTTTCTCTTCTGTAGAAGAAGCTGGAAGTCACTGTTTAACCAGTATGGATTTTTCATTGGAAATGCTGGAGGAGACCTCTAGGCTTGGTTTAACACCAGAAAACAAACACATTAGAGATGTTTTGGTCATTAAAGTGCCTCTAACCCCACTGTAACTTTCGGTCAGCTACCACATCAAACCTGTGATTCCTCTCTCCCAAGGCAATTTTGTTTTATAGCACTGTCAGCAAACTGCTTCAGCACAGTCTGAAAAGATTCCAGCTTAAATTACAGTAGTGAAAGCCTGTGCTGGGCTCTTCCCCTACTGTTTTTTTTCTAGAATATTTAAATTTCATATTATTCCCCACCCAGTCTTAACCATACTTCCCAGAATGCAGGAAAACTGTCTTTCCTTCCTGCAGTCCTAAATGCCTTCATTAGGGAGACTTAACGTTGAAGTGTTTTGGAAAGGCAGATGCTCTAGATTTAAAAGAAACAAGAGATGACTCTCAGTGAACAGCTGCATTGCTCTCAGCTTCACGCAAGCCGTGTCTCAGAATGGTTTTGTACATTATTTTGTCACTGGGAACATATTATTACCATCTAAATTTAAAAGCACTGGCTTCCTTGCATGAAGGCAAAAGCAGACTTAAAACCACAATGACTGTTCTGTTCAAGTATTCTATCCCAGCGATACAGAAAATAAGATTAAAGTGAAACACAGTTCTTGTTTGAGAAGATATTTGCTTGCAAGGTGTCTGTACAGAACTGGCTAAAAACACAGGTACAGGAATTCTCATATGCTTTCAAATATAATATCTCTATTCACAGCTCTTCGCTGAAGTCTCATTCTGCAGCTGCTTCAGCTCTTTGTTGACTGCACAGAAATATCTTGTCCATACTCTCAAGCAGTATTATTTTACAGCTGTTAGCAGATTGAAATGTTGGACATTAAACCCATATTCCAAAGTTATAATTTTTCAGTTCTACAGAAAAATATTTTTTTTAAATAAACTGAGCACTGTCTGCTTCTGTAGATACTAGGTCATATAATTCTTGAAATAGTGTTCTGGCAAACAATTCCACTTCGGAGCACTGAGCAGACCTCTTGCTCATTGAAAATGGCTAGTGAACTTCCAAAATCCAGGGAGAATAATCTAAACTCTTTTTTTTTTTTTTTAATCTTATGAATTTAAACTATATCACATCTTTTTTTACCCTATGAAAGATATATTAACAGTTTTTCTCTTATTGAGACTTCTTACGCATCTTCTACAACCACCCACATTTATATTCCAGAATAGTTTAGTCAGTGACTGAATGATCCATTGCAACTCAGATAAATCCCTTGTTCTGAAAAAAGTGCACTAATCATATGAATAATGTAAGATTGATTTATTTCAATGAACATATGTAAAACACAGCCATAGATTTTCAGTCATAAACAAGACTTCAATGGACAGCCAGTTACTTATTCCCTGAGGGATAGTTTAAGGAACAAGTTGAATGAGGTACTGTTTCAGTGACTATTAACATCATTGGGAGTCTTTTAATTAATGTCAATGGCATAACTGAGGTCAAAATTTTTGTATACATCTATATATTTTAAAATATATACACATATATATGTTCTAGCTAAGAACTTCTTTACATTTTCTGAGTATAATTTTTGCATTTCAGAAGTATCTGATTCTCTCTAAAATGGGAGCCAGGCCCAGAAATTTGGGAACTTTGCTTTTTGATAAATCTGGGTTTCCTGATTGCTTTTATGTAATTACATCTGTAATGTGACAAGAGATTAAATATCCTAGGGGGTTAAATGCAATGACAAGTTGAAAAAAAAAAAATCCCAATTTTTCTTTAGTATTTAGTAGAAGTTTGCCAGCAAGCATTATCCTGACCTATCAATCAGTATTTGGCCATTAATCTAATTGATATTCAGTAAATTCTTCCCATTATAATCTTTCAGGCAAGTGCTGCAAACTCTAATGATCTTTCTGTGTTCTACCATAAGAGAAAAAAAAGGATGTTGAGTCATGTTGTAAGTCTCTTCACCTTGTTGCTGGAAAATCAAGCTTTTTCTGAATGATTCCTGAATGGAAGAATACTAAAATTGGGGAGGTAAATAAGACTTTGATCAGAATACTGGACAGCTAGGTAAAGATGGGTAAAGTGTAAGATAAAGTTGAACAAGGAAAAGGACAAACATTCTCTTATCTAAAAGTGTGCTTCCTTACTTGAAGTCTTTAGTTAATTTAGAAAAAAAAAAAAGACAAGGACTAACTCACTATTCTGTACAGAATTCATCCCTTCTACTTACTGAAGTTCTGGAAAAAGCTATGACAACCAAGGGCCTAACTTACAAATGTAAATATAAAATATTAAGCAAAATCTCTATTAAAAATTAAAGACTCTGACCCAGCAAAATTCCCAAACATGTGCTTAAATTTAAGCACGTAGTCCTAACAAGGTTAATAGGAATCATCTGTCAGTGAGATGCCTTATGCGCAAACATGCTTCTTTGAGTTTTAAAACCACATTTGCTAAACTTCTAAATACTTGAAATTTAGGCACACAAGTTTGAAAATCTGGCAAAAGCTTCTTAAATGTTTTGCTGAAATACAAAACAGATCTTTTCTGGTTTAGGAGTTTATATGAATTCTTACTCTTCAGGCCAACAGAATTGGTTGTTCACCAACAGAGAAGTTGTCACGGCCACACAGGTAATGTTGGAGGGCTTCTCAGGCTGACTGTAGCAACCAAGGCAAGTCAAAACTTTTGATACAGGACTGAGCTAATGAATGAACATATTGAGAAAGTTGATGTTTTGTACTCTTACTGATGGGCAAAATTCCCCAAAACCTTGGAATGGCTTAACTTCAGATTCAGATTTTCCATTGCCATGAATAAAATAGAAATATTCCTCCCTAACAGGACTCAGACTTTAATCTTGCCGTTTTGCATGAGATTCAGAACTCACATTTTTACACTTCCATATATGAAGCACCTCTGGCAATTTAAACTATAAGAATAAATACTCTCTACAGTGAATTCATGCCTTTTTAAAAATCTCTTTAAGAATGTGAACTCCCCTCATACACTTTGGTGTTCTCCATGTACTGGAGAACTAAGTTTTAAGCTTTTCTTAGCAAACATACTTCAAGTATGTGAATTTTATAAAGCATTCTAAATGTTTCATGTAAAATTGTGTGCATGTGGTAATAGTTTTGGATATAATATTTTACATTTCAGCTGTCTGTATTTCTGTGTTATAAGACATTCATTTATTTATGAGATCATAGATCTTCTTTGGATTACAACTAAAATACAAGATATTCTTTGCTGGTAACAAATGGTAACCCTTTTTCATTAAAGCTGGGCAACATTCCATCTTCCAATATTTTATTGTGCAGCTTGTTTAAAAGTCTTCCAATAAAAAGAGATTCAGTTGTCAATGTTACTAGGTAATGGCTTGAGCAACTGATGTATCACAAACTTGGCATACAAAACCTGTGGGGATACTGGAAACCTGGTTTCCCCATTGAGGAAGAGGGGGATGCAAATTGGCAAGGTTACCTCTTGCAAATTCAAGGTGTTTGGCTTCCGATTTCTGTTTTTCAAGAAAAAAATATCATATGGAAATTTGTCTGTGTATCAGAATGCTGAGCGCTAATTTTAGAACTCTTCAAATAGAATCAGTAGACTCTTTGAAACACGCTGAAGAAAAACTGGCATTTGTGGAATCCCTCTTAAACAGGCTTTAAATTAGGTGAATTAGGACTATAACTTAATCAGTATTACTTAAATACTCATAAATTGTGTTTGGACCTGATTTTGGGATTTCTTCTATCAGATTTAATGAATAACTACAGAAGAGGCATATTTATAAAAATCGGAAACTTCGAGATTAGATTTAGAAAGACTTTAAAATGAAACATTTGTTCCCCTATTGTCACAAACCTGAAGAAATCCCTCTTATTTTAAATCCTCTTTCATTTGAATACACTTAACAGGCTTGGAGTACTTTGCTACTACTTCAGTAATTAACATCTGTAACCTTTTCTGTTTTGGAATTAATGTTATGGTCAGTAGAAAGAGAGACCAAATATTCCAATATTTTCCTGGAAGTATCTTTAAAATGTCCTAAAAAGTATTTTCAAAAGCTACAGAATTCATATACCACTATCCCTGTGTCTCTTGATCAGCCTTAACTAGGATATTTTGGGGTTTTAAAATGGCAATAAGTTTCTTTTGTTTTCTCAATAATGGCTTTTGTAATTTTTTTATTTTTATCATCTGTCACAAAAATTTGTTGTATGTGTAAGCAATTTAATGGTTCGCTGAAAGGGTGTTATGCAACTGAATTGTATAAAATCCTGTCCAAATCCAGAAATTATTGTAAGGGGGAAACAGCAAAATGGTGAAAGGCTGAGAATTTAAATGTGCTTTCTATTTGTATTCGTATCTTTTTATATGTGATTTTGAGTAGCTACTCTCTTTGTTACCTTGTGAGGGTGAAAGGGAAGAGAAGATTAGATTGAGGGGTCAGGAATGAATAGTTGCTGTCTGTTCCCAGAAGAGTCAAGACCCTAGAGTCATAATTTAGCCAATGGGGAATATGTAGTACCATATCTGTTTTACGTAGGTCTGAAATGGTTATGTCAACCATTGCTAGCTCCATTTCATGGTTAGTTTTCCAACCAGAAGTCACTCAGTGTAATGCTGAGCTATTATGAAAATCATTAAGCCTGGTCTTAAC